TAGTGTGAGGTGCTCATCGATGTTATCTCAATTTGAGAACCTTCTTAATTTGGAGCCACTCAGTTCATATCAGTAGCTCCACGATCTAAAGCAGGCATAAACCCTCAAAATATATATGTTGCAATGATACATACATTTCTAAAATAATACAGAAAAATACATGTACATAGTAATTAACATATAATACAGAAAAAAATTTCTTAAAAGTCCTAAAAATTATGAACTTTTGCTACCTCTTAAGGAACAGCATCTACTGATTCTGTTATCCAACTGATTAGTGTTAGCCTTTCAACAATTTGAAATTAGATGCTGCTTTAAAATAAAATTACTCACACAGTGGCTAAAATGAAAAAGACAGACAATACCAAATGCTGGCAAAGATATTGAGCTAGAATTCCGACACAGCATCAACGGGAGTGGGAATAGGTATAACCTCTTTGGAAAACTGTTTGGCAATAGACTAGGAATGAACAAGTGCACTTCCACTCCTAGTATATGCCCAACAATGTATACATATGTTCACAAAAAGACATGGACAAGAATGTTTATAGCAGCATTTTTTTAACAGTCCAGCCCTGGAAACTACCCAATGTCTATCAACAGTGGATTGGATAAATAAATTGTCTTTACCATCCAGATGGCCAAACGACACATGAAAAAAATGCTCAATATCGCTCATCATCAAGGAAATACAAATCAAAAGCACAATGAGATACAACCTCACACCTGTCAGAATGGCTCACGTTAACAACTCAGGCAACAACAGATGTTGGCGAGGATGCAGAGAAAGAGGATCTCTTTTGCACTGCTGGTGGGAATGCAAACTGATGCAGCCACTCTGGAAAACAGTATGGAGGTTCCTCAAAAAACTAAAACTAGAACTACCCTACGACCCAGCAATTGCACTACTAGGCATTTATCCAAGGGACACAGGTGTGCTGTTTCGAAGGGACACATGGACCCCCATGTTTATAGCAGCACTATCTGCAATAGCCAAAGTATGGAAAGAGCCCAAATGTCCATCGATGGATGAATGGATAGAGAAGATATTGTATATATATACAATGGAGTATTACTCAGCAATCAAAAAGAATGAAATATTGCCATTTGCAACTATGTGGATGGAACTAGAGGGTATTATGCTAAGCAAAATTAGTGTCAGAGCAAGACAAATAACTTATGACTTCACTTATACAAGGACTTTAAGACACAGAACAGATGAACACAAGGGAAAGGAAGCAAAAATAATATAAAAACAGGGAGGGGGACAAAACATCTCTTAAATATGGGAACAAACAGAGGGTTACTGGAGGGTTTGTGGGAGGGGGATGGGCTAAATGGGTAAGAGGCATTAAGGAATCTGCCCCTGAAATCATTGTCGCACTATATGCTAACTAACTTGGATATAAATCGTCTCTTCTCCTCTCTGAATGCCCCTCCCGCACCCGCACTCTCTCTCAAAAATAAATAAACATTAAAAAAGAAAGAAAGAAAAGAAGAGCACCAGCAACCAAAGCACACAAAACAAGAACGGATGCTCCAGTTTGTGTTACTTGTCTTCCCTGGACCAATAACTGTGACCAAAAGAACAGGGAACACTTATGAGTCAGTCCCATCACATGCTTAACAAGATCACATGAAATGAAAAAGGGGCAACTCTCCAAAGGGAAAAGCAATGGGGAAACAACATATGCTTACTGTCGTGTCATATGCTGTATCTGATGGTCACCACCATAAGAGAAATTCTTAAACTTGGTATGTCAAGAATAAGGAAGTATGTTCCCTCAAGTTGCATTCAACTCTAAGGTTCCAGTGTTCTTTCCCTAACACACAGGTCATATCCATTAGTATTAATATTAAAATATTTTAAAAATATGGATCTAGTTGTAGAACGTACATCCAAGTGCAACTACTGATAGCAACCATGTTTCGTTTCTCTTTGAGCATCTCTCAAAATACTCATCTGTCTGTGAACACGTGTTAACACTTTTCCCACTGCTAGTTTGGATAAATATTCCACATTTTTGACCACATACATTTCTGTTAACAGCCATGAAATCACATACCAACAAATTAACTGAAGACTACAGGTGTGGCAGACTGAACTTAAGCCCCCGAGAGAAACCAGGTTACTACTATGCCGGGTTAACCAGACAGCTCAGCCAAAGGCCTTGTCAGTTTATGCGGGACCCTCCATAATAAAGGGACCACATCAAGCAGAGAATATTTCTTTAGCATAATAAGGCCAGGACTCTTATTTTGCAAGAAGTAGACTTAAAATCATGTTGTTAGAAGACATATACATTTCTTTCATAGACTATATACCAGGGGTGGGCAAACATTTTTTGTAAAGGGCCAGATAGTAAATATTTTAGGCTCTGCAGGCCATATGGCCCCTGCTGCAGCTGCTCAGCTCTGTACTGCAAAAGCACCATAGACAATACTTATACAATTGAGTATGGCTCTGTTCCAATAAAACTTTACAAAAACAGGCCTGCGGGACTTGGTCCATTGGCCATCGTTTGCCAACGCTGGGACTAGACAATAACATACAAACAAAAACAAACTACATCCTAGAGGTGAGATGTGTTTGTCTAGGTAAAGACAAAGCCTGAACACAGCCCTGCTAATGGAGAGAACAAACCAGAAGTTTACTCCCAGTTTACCCCCAGCCCTTCCTACCCCCTTCCTACCATGAGACTAAAGTTCATCTTCCTCAACTCTGCAGAATCAGCAGGAGCTAAAACAGATTGATTCTGTGTTCACATGCAGCTGAGGCCGAGGTGGCAGAATTTACACAACACTACTCGATGGAGCTGGGACTTCATTAATTCCGAGGAGGAAGGTATATTCTGAGGAACTGAAAGATGCTGAAGATTAAAGAGATCTGTGAAGACAACATTGGGAGAAGTGGAAAGAAGAGAATTAGAGAATGAGGGAGTACTGAATATCCACCAGAGAGGACTTCCCTGGAGTCCAGGTCCCAATCTTTCTTTGGACCCTTTCCTGAATCTTTTAGAAAAAAAGCTCTTAAGCCTCCCACAAGGCCCTGATTTATTTCCTACTACTCGCTGCCTCATTCACCTCCTCATTCTTCTACCACTGGCCTCCTTGCTGTTCCTTGAACATACCTAACACATTCCTACCTCAGGGCTTTCGTGCCTCCTTACTTTTTATTTTTTATTTTTTTTAAACATTTATTTATTTTTGAGACGGAGAGAGACAGAGCATGAACGGGGGAGGATCAGAGAGAGAGGGAGACACAGGATCTGAAACAGGCTCCAGGCTCTGAGCTGTCAGCACAGAGCCCGACGCGGGGCTCGAACTCACAGACCGCAAGATCATGACCTGAGCTGAAATCGGCCGCTTAACCGACTGAGCCACCCAGGTGCCCCACCTCCTTATTTTTTAAACAGACTGAAAACTCTTCTTCTAAATATTCAAATGGTTCGCTCTCTTTTCATTTGGATGTCTCAGATGATGTCTCCTCAAAGATGCCTTCCTTTACTTCTCTACCTAGAACAGCATCTTTATTAGGCTCTGCTTAATTTTTCTTCACAGCACATCACTACCTAAATCTCTTCCCCAATAGCATGTGAGCCCCATAAAGGCAAAGACTTGGGTTCATTCATTCCAGTTTATTCCCAGCATTCTGAATAATACCTAGGACACAGATGGTGCTCAATAAATATTTTCTGAATGAATCAATCAATCAAGTCCAGCACATCTATGATGGCTAATTTTATGTGCCAACTTGGCTGAGCTATGGCACCCAAATATTTAGTCAAACATTATTTTGGATGTTTCTGTGGAGATGTTTTTAGATGGGATTAATAATAAATAGTGGATACTGAGTGAAGCAGATTGCTCTGTATAATGTGGTTGGGTCCCATCCAATCAGTTGAAGGTCTGAATAGAACAAAAGGCAAGAGAGTCTGCCTGTCCTTGTTCTAGTCCTGGTTCTAAAGAAGACTGCCTTTGAATTCCAACCGCAACTCCCTCCTGAGTTCCCATCCCCTTAGACTCCCCTATCAGACTTTGTGGACTTGCCAAACCTTCACAATTGGGAGAGCCACATCCTTAAAATAATTCTCTGTTCTGTTTCTCTGTAGAACCCTAATACACATTCCTAGTCAAACTGTGCTATCTTCTTTACTAAAGAATTTCTCCTAATGGCTGTATACCCACTGGTTTTCACAACATGAGTAAGGGAGCCAAAATATCCACATATTCCGCAGATGTGCAGGTAATATTGCTACCAGTGACTTTCTCCCCATGGTCAGCTAAATAAGGACTGGAGAATGGGGGAGAAAATAATCAAACACAGCTCTTAAATATTACAGCTGATTAGGTAAAAACACTGGCACTTAAAATCATCTGGAGACCTCCCTTCATACAAAACTATTTCATTCATATTTAGCGAACAGGAAAGTGGATCTACAACCTGTCTAGATCCTAGAATGTTAAAGAACATAAAATATCAAACATACAAGTATGTTTATATTCTGTATTTTTAGCCCTGTGACCATAAGTATAAAGTCTACGAGGTGTGGTGTGTTTTCATAAGGTGCTCCAGGACAGCGCTCCCCCTCTGCCCTTAAAATTTTTTTAAATAAAAGAATTAAAAATTTTAAAAAAATTAAAAAATCAAGAAAAGAGACAAAATTCCCTACCCTGGTACCACTCTGGAATCCTGCCATGAGAAAGGCTTTCCAGCATCCTCAAAAGTGTTAGGGGCCGTTCAGAGGCTTTCTCCGGGCCCCGCGCTCCGCCCCCTCCCTCTATGGTGCCCTCCCAGCCAATCAACGTTCTACAGGGCCCTCCTCCCGCGCGTCTTTCAAAAGCCCCCTAGAAACCAATGAGCAGTTAAAGGTACTCGGGGGCGGAGGAAGAAATAGGGAGAGGGTCTGATTGGTTCCTAGAAGTCGCCGCGCCCCGCCTCACAGAAGGATGTACCAATGAGCTGAGCGGAGGGGCGGCCTCCGCGCGGGGCGGTCGCTGAGGCGCCGGTGCTGCTAGACCGAGGCGGCAGCGGGTCACGACGTGGGGCGGCCAGCGATGAAGCCGGTGAGTCGGGCCGAGGCTCGGAGAAGCGAAGCCACAGGGAGAGAAGCGGTCCCCGAAGCCAGTTTGCGGGCCCAGGGACAGCCCAGGCCTGGTCCCGGGCCTGACTCGCGCTGTAACCGTCCGAGGTCGGGGAGGTGGCGCTTTCCTAAATTGGGGAGAGCGACGATTGAAAAGGAACAGGGTCGGTGGCGGACGAGGGGAAGGCGGACATTCGTTGTGAACCTGTAGTGCACAGGCTGGGAACTGTCTCCTGCAGAGTCTCCTAAGCCTCAGGAGAGCCCTGCCAGAGAGGGCTGAATCCCGTTTTATGGAGGAAACTGAGGCATGGAGAGCTTAGGTGTCTCCGTGTATCAGTTTGCCTGATGCCCAGCCCCAAGGGATGTCCGGGGCCGCTCCGCGCCCGCTGGAGAGCCGTCCTCACCGCAGACGGGGAAAACCTCACTATAAAAGATTGCCAATCCCCATTTGTGGGTGCTTCACCATCCCCCAGGGCCAACTGGCACTGCGTCCTTTTCTGGGGTTCAGAATCCCTGGGCCAGGGGAAGCAGAAACGTCCAACTCTGTTAGGATTTGTAAGCCTGGCTGGGAAAGCCTGAGTGAATGGGCCACACTCTCTTTCTTTCTCTCTCTGAAAATCTGGAATCATCAAAACTGCTTTAAAGAGAAAGGAAAAACAGGCGCAAGGTGCTGTGGCCCCACCTGACTCACATCACCCACCACCAGGGTTTGCAGCCTATTGAATATTTAAAAACCTTTGAGTTGATAATAATAATACAAAGAGATCCAAAGCAACTCAAATCCGTAGCCTAAATGGCTCTGTAATGTGATCTTGTAGTAACAAACAAGACCATTATAGAATATAGCTTCAGAGCTGGAAAGGACATTAGCTACTTACACTTGCTAATCCCCATGGTTCCATGTGGAGAGGCATCAGCTGTCCTTCACTCTTGGCCTCTTTCTCCACTTGTCCCCAGAAGGGCAGAGTGAGGGATCTGATCCCCCAGTTTGAGAGGAGCTGAACACAAGCAGCTGAACCCTTTCGTCCCTTCTCTCTGCAGAGATTACTTTCTAGGGCGCTCTTGGCCACTGGGGAGCCCTGGGTTGTCCATAGCTGCCTATGACTGGGGGAATGAGTCCAATTCTGGAGTGAAGAATTGACAAGCCCACTTAACCACAGCTTTAAAGCCACGTCCTCCCTTTAACACTCAGTAATAAAACTAACCTCTTGATTTCCATTTGCCTCTCCACTGTGTTATCTCTCAGTTGGTTCCAAGTAGGAAGTAAGAAGAAAGGTGTGTTTTTCACTGGTCCTATGAAACAGCTGTCCCTCCTTTAGAAAACAGGCCTACAGGATTGAGTTCCAACTCTTTAGATCATTGTGCAAAGTCCATCTCAGTGTGTCTAGTCCACGGGTTCACAAAGTAGCAGGTTATCCTACCTGTACACCCCCATCCACCAAACTAGTAGGCTGTTAGGGGGGTTATTGTTTGAGAAATGGAGGAGGCAAACTACCCCAGCTTCATCCTCTCTGCCCTGATGTTTCAGTTCCTGAAAACAAGCTCTTTCCCCTTTTGCCTTTATTGCCTTAACTTCTTCCCTATCTGCCTAAAAACCTCCTGCCCATCCTTTAAGACCCAGCTAATGTATGTCCTCTGAAGCTCTGTCCAGCTCCCTGAGCAGTCACTCCCTTCCCTGCCCTAAAGTGCATAGTTTATGCGTCCAGGTTAGCACTTACAACTTTCTTCTGTAATCTATGCACATATCTCTCCCTCCAATTATACTGAAGCTATTTATTTCATGGCTCTTTGCATCTCCAGAGCTTGGCAAATAAAGGTGTTCAAGAAATGTTTGTGAATGAATGAATATATCTCCTCACTTTCTAGTTGTGGAAAACTGAGACCCAGAATAAATTGGAGTTGCTTGTCCAAGATTATATGGTAAATGGCAGAGCCAAGACCAGAATCCTGGTTTGTTACCAATCCAACTCTCTTTCCATCAGAGTGCTGTAATTATCAATAGGATGGTAAAATCTATTTATTTTTGCTGACCATTCTCATAGTCCAAATTGAATAAATTGCAAATATGCATTCATTGTGTTAAGCAAGGGTCAGCTTATATGTAAATATTTTTCTTTACAGTTATTTAACATAACTGATTTCTTTTGAAGCCCAGTTCATTGCAAACAAGTGAGTTTGACTCATCAGATGAAGAGCCTATTGAAGATGAACAGACTCCAATTCAGCTATCATGGTATGTTAAACTTCTGATCAATGATGAGCTAAATTATTTGATCTGTACATCACAATCCATGTAGATACATAGTCCACATATTAAAAATATTTAGTGGGGTCCCTGGGTGGCTCAGTCATTGAAGTGTCTGACTCTTGATTTCAGCTCAGATCATGATCTCACAGTTCGTGAGATCAAGCCCTGCGTCAGGCTCTGCGCTGACAGCCCAGAGCCTGCTTGGGATTGTCTCTCTCTTTGCCCTTCCCCTGCTCACTCATATGCACCTGCTTGCTCTCTCTCTCTCTCTCTCTCT